CGCCCCCGGCCGCGCGCCCACCCCCACGCCCGCGCGGCGGCCCGCCCGCCCTGGCCAGGTGACCCAGCCGGCGGTGTAGACCGGCTGGGCGGCCGAAGACCTGAGCATGGTGAGCGCCGGGCAGCTCCCGAGTTCTCCGCTCGTGCGGCCTCTCCCGTCCGACAGGGTCTGAAGCCTACCTGCTCCTGGCCTTCATTTCTTCTCTCCAGGTCCTTGCCCAGCTCCTCCTTTTCCTTTTCCTCCTGACCCGAGCATCCTTCCTGACTCGGCCTCACCCACGGATACAGCCAGAGTAATGCACTTCTCTGAAGACTGCGCCTCTCGGTTCCCTGTCTGTCAGCTTGAGCAGGGGCGTAGGGCACCGCAGGGCACTGGGCCAGCCTGCGCGTTTAGCAATCCTGGACGCCGAGCATCGGGCAGCACCTGACGGGGCAGCAGACTCCCTGGGGCTGCCGCCGCCGTCCTGGGGCACAGCCCTCTTGGGGATCCCTCGAGTCTCGGCAAGGTTTGTCTTGGGGTCACACATGCCAAGGATCCCCTGCCAGGGCTGGATCTCTGCCGGCCCCCCCAGGAGATCCCCAGTCAATCGGGATCTTTGCTTCTCCTTCTCCTTCTCCTCCTCTCAGCCTCCATAGTCTCTCCCTTTGCAGCCTCTCCCTGTAAATCTCTCGCTCCTTATCCCTGTGTTTGTCCAAGCCCCATGATTTGGTCCTCATTTTTATTCGTGAGTACTGGGGATCGAACCCAGGACCTTCGCACTGAGCCACCCCCACCCCCACCCCCGCCAGTCCTTTTTCTGAAGACCGGGTCTTGTTCAGTTGCCCAGGCTGGGTTTGAACTGTGGCTCTTCCTACCTCTGCCTCCCAGAGTGCTAGGACGACAGGTGTGAGCCTCCACACCTGGTTTTCTCCATCTTCTTGTCTCTCTCTTCGTCTCTGTCCCTCTCCACCGGTCTCTTCCCTGCTCTTCTTTTCCCCTCTCACTTTCTTGGTCTCACTGCCTTTGTTATTTAAGACTCAGTCTGTGTCTTAAATTCTCCTCCCTCGATCTCTCTCTCTGTCTTATACTTTCTCATTCTTTGTTTTTCCCTCCCTTCCTTTTACAGTCTTAGTCTCTCTGTTTCTATCCATGCTTCTGCCTCCTCTGGATCTCATCTTCCCTCTGCCTCTTTTCATTTTTATGTCAGCCCACGTCTCCAGGACATAATCATTACATTCCCTGGGTGCAGCTCCTGCATGTACCTAACCTACCTCAATTATTTCTTCATCCCCTTCCCCTTTCTTCTAATTTTTCTGTCTTTCTTCATTTTTGTCTACCTCGACCTGATTTTCTGTGCCAGTGTCTCTTACACTTGGTGTTTTTCAGGCCCCCCAAAGTCAAGTCCTTCCATTCTTGGACTGGGAGCTTCTTCCACCTGTCCTTATCCCTCCTCTTTGAGCTCCTACTCCCTCTCACCCTCCATCTTCTCCTCCCCAGGTTTGGCGTGTGAGAATGAGGGCTGGAAGGCTCCTCAGAGCTTGGGAAATGGCAGAGACCCACCTTCTGGATTCTGAGAGGGGAGCTGCACCCCGCCCCGCTGTCACCACAAGTGCTTGAGAAGCACTGAGCACATATCCGGCTGTAGCATGAATTAAAATGTCCCGTGGGTCCAAGCCCTAGGGTGCAGCAGAGAGAGAGAGAACAGGTGCCTCCGGTCAGTCTGCCAGGCAGGGGCCAAGGGGTGGAGCTTCAGGGAAGCCAAGGACCTGGAGGAGCAGCTGTGGGCTCCTTAGCAGCTAAGAGGCCAAAGCAAACAGGGGCCAAAGAAACCCCACTATTGTTCCTGCTTTGCTCTGGCATTTCCTGCTGCAGCAGCTCCTCCTCCCCCTCTCTCTTAAGGTAGAAAGACTGTCTGTCCTTTCTCCCATGGGCCCCAAGGCCCTGCCCCTAGCAGGGCCTGGAAGTTATATATAGGATTTTCTTCAGGACCTGAGGCTCAGCTGCAGAAGGGCCTGATCACCCCAGAGGCTTCGGGGCCAGGCTCCTCCACTGCTGAACTCACCTTCAGTCTGCACCCTTCCACCTTCTTTTCAATCCTCCCTCCCAGCACTCTCTTCCACAGGTCTCCAGCTCCATCCACTTGGTGTTCCCAGGAGGCTGAGCTGCAGAGGGAAGCATCTACCTGAGGATTTGAGTGTAGTCCTTTCCAGCTAATGTAGGACTGTAAAGCCCAGCAACTTGTTCATGCCGTTTTATAGATTCATAACACAGTCTATACAATTATAGATCATAATTGACCTCTGCCTGTGAGACTTAACTCCAAGCTACCTAGTGAGGGCAGAGGTTACTTGCCCAGGATCACACAGTGACCTGAGATGGGAAGCACAGGTTGCCACAGACTTGGTCACCAGGAGTGGACCTGGTGAGACAAAGCCTAGGCCTGTGGGTGAGGTGCTTCCTTTTCTCCAACCATCTGGGTCACTCTACTCCCAGGTTGTTACAAGAAATTCCAGGAGCTACTATGTCCTGAAATTGTCTCTGCTGAGCATTCAAGGTCCCATTTGCCAGCTCCAAAGCAATGCCTCCGTGGGACCTTTCCAGGCTAGGAGAGCTGGAATCTCTCAGGAAGAGCCCTTCCTCTTCTATTCTGATAGAAGGATCTTTGGATTCCCTGGGAGAAGCTGAGGGCTGGGGTAAAAATGGTAGGGTGCTCAGTCTGTTTTCAGGCACCTGAACTTTGTCATTTCCAAGTTGTGGAAGAAACAGTCTTTATTGATAGACAAATGAGCATTTATTGAGTGCTTACTATATGCAGAGCACTGTGTTAGATAAGGACCAATGAGAGAAGGTAGACAGGAGAATGCCCTGCATGAACTGGAAGGTGCCCTGTCCCAAGGACTTACAATCTAACGGGAAGACATTGGATATGCATGAAATCACAGCTCAAACACACAAAACATCAAAGCAACTTTTGCAGGTACCAGATCATTTGACACAAAGTGGGAGTGTGGAAAAGGATGGTGCTGGGACCTGGTGGCCAACCACCCCCTCCTCTCAGCTCAGCCTTGTTTGTCCCAGCTCAAGGGCCTGCAGGTCTGGCTCCATGCCGCCTTGCTTCTTTCTGCTGTGGGTACGTCTGACCTCCCTGGGTGCCCTTCAAAGGCACAAACCAGCCCTGTGTCTCTTGTCATTTTCTCCCTCCCTTGTCTCTACCAGGCTCTGTGTCGACTCGCAGACAGTGGCCTGGGCTGGGCTGGGCCGCACAGGCCCAGCTGAATGTTCTGGTTTCTGCCAGGGGCTCCCAGGAGGAGCCTAGGGCTTGTCTTAGAGAAGAGATCATGGGAGTTTACATAAGAGAACCTGAGTTCAAGTCTTTGATCCATACTGACTGTGTGTTGTTAGGCCAGCCTCTCAGCCTCGGTTTCTGAATCTAGAAGATAGGAAGAACAGTATTTATTCTACCTATTTCACAGGATTGGGAGGCAATCACAGGGATACTAAGGGAGCGCTTTGGAAATAGTAAAACTTTGCATGGCTGAGGGTCATTGTCCTTCCTGATTGGAACTCAGAGCTGCTCAGTAACTGTCAATTTCCCTCTACCGCCATCACTTGGAATCCTGGTGCACTGGCCTCTGATCTCAATCTGGGCAGTAGGCACTGGAAGTGCCATGCCGGGGAATCTCACACTTGGTTTCTGGTGAGATGCAATCTAGGAAGTGGTACAGACATGGAGAGAGATTCTTGGTGCCTGTTTGTTAGAATGGAGTGGGGCGTGGATGAGGTGCCTTGCTGACTTCTAGAACAAGAGAACTCAGCTACCAGGAGGAAGGGGTTTGGGGAGGGAGTGTCCTGCCCACAGCGGCTATGGCCCAGAAAGCCTTTTTCTAACTTCAAAGAGAGCTTTGGTCAAGGAAGACCGAAAAGAGCCTGCATGAGAGGGGCACAGCTGCAACAGAGATGTTCCTTAACACAGTCTATTTGTGAAGGAAGCCGAGGGGAGAAAGGCACGCAGCCAGCAGGAGTTTGGTAAAGTGTGAGACAAACACAAAAGTCTTGAAAGCCTGGGGCAACAGAGAACATGAAGAGAGGGGCTTAAGGTGTGATCCTGGGCCAGTTGTGCAGCAGGCTGGAGGGAGGAAGGGGCTGGATGGGTCTGGGTGGTAGGAGGAAGGAAGAGGAAGAGCTGCTGGTGTGTGCTCAAGATCATGAGAGGGTCAGAGGCTGGCCTGGGATAAGTCCAGCCAAACCACTTCCTTCAGCCCAGAGCTTGGGGCTTTCGGGGCTCTCCTTTGACCACCAACTAAAAGAGGTGAAGGAGGCTAAAGGTAAGCTCCCTTCTGCATACTCCTCCCACCCAAGGAAGCAGAAATGAGAATCATCCTAATAATGCATGCTAATGGTTCAAGAATTACTGTTCACAAAGCATCTTTACATGCATGGTCTCACTTAATCCTAGGTAATCTCATTTGAGAACCATTGCACTGGCCTGGAAACAGAAACCTAGTTTCTAGACTCAGATCTGCCTTCACCCCAGGCAAGTCATTTCCTTTTGTGGTCTTTGCAGTCCACAATAAATGTTCAGTGTGGGAACCAGAAGAGGCTTAAAGGGGAGTCTCTGGTTCCACCCCTAAGAGGGAGGGAACAGAGATTTTCTGGGGAGGAAGATGCTGCCCGGAGTGGCTGAAGGAGGAGTGGCTGCTGCCTGGTGCCGTGGTTGCACGCACGCCGCACGCCCGAGTGCCTTGCCCAGCCAGCCATAGGCGTGAGCTTCAACAGGCTCACTTGCGAAACTGAGTGTCTCCTTTCAAGAAGTGTCTAGTTGCAAATCTCCCCCTCTTGAAGACAAAGGTCAGGGGCCCACAAAGGGCTTTAGTTTTCTCCACCCAAGAAGCCTAATCTCTGGGTCTGTCCCCTCCTCCCAGATGGATGTCTTGTGTGTGAGCATTTGTGCACATGTTCGCATGCATGCACACACATGCAGGTGTGTACACACGTATGCCCACACAATTCCCTTTGAAGAGTCCTCCCTAAGGGCAGAAAGGAAATCCTCTCAGCCCTCCTTTTTCCAGAGGCCATTTCTGGGGGAGCTGTTTTCTGGTTGATACTTCTCCACCTCCAGCAATGAGTGAGGGCAAGTTGTGAGGCCCAGTGCTGCAGCTGGGAGGAATTTTCCAGAAGGGGCAAGTCAAGGAAATCAGGGACTTTCCTTCAGACTCTCCTTTCCTCTTCTCCTGGGAGTGACTGGCTCTGAGGATTCATCCACTGCAGAAGAAGCAGATTTATTGCAGGTGTGGGAGGAGGGGATCAAAGGGGGGGGGAGTGAGAGTCCCAGCCCTGCACACTTATATCACCATCGGCATACCAGTTCACACTCAGACACATGCAAACCCTGCACTGGAGGACAGAGGAAAGTAGGGATGAATATACATTTGTACATTAGCAAAATGGCATTCACCATTCCTAGATCCAAGCCCTATGGTGAGGGTCTGAACACTTCCCACCCAAGTACCTGGGTGGGCTTTCAGAGCTTCCCACCTGGCCTCCCTCCCTTCCCAGCTGGGTCTCAAAGTCCTCAGCTCCCTGTAAAGGACCAGAAGAGGGTCACTGCTACAGCAGTGCACAGCTTCCAGCAGGGGAATGTCAGGCTCACTGCTGTCCCCCAGGCCCCGTTCCTGCTGCCCCACAGCGCTGGCCGAATACTCGTCCTGGAAGCAGCTGCTCTGCACTGGAAGCCAGCCTTGGGACTGGGGAGAGGAGGAACAGGCTGGGCCTTCCGCATCCGGCCGCATCCCAGCGTGGCCGCGCGGCCTGCCTTCGGGGCCAAAGGAGGCTCAGGCCTTGCTGCCCCGCGGCGGGCTCTGTGGCGAGTGCAGCTCCACTGACTGCCGGCGCCGCACCTCGCGCTCCTCCCAGTCGGTGTCGGGCTCCAGGCCCTTCAGCACAGCCAGACGCTCCGACAGGCTCTTGGCCGAGGGGAACAGCACGTAGTTGTAGAGAAGGGAGCCCAGGATGGCGCCGACCAGGGGTCCGATCCAGAAGACCTGAGGTGAGAGGAGCGAGCGCTGGCACCGTGCACCCGGGGAGCGGGCGTCTTCTGGGGTCTGGGACCAGCGCACTTCCCCGCACGCGGGATAGGGGCTTCTCACGCGGCTAATACACCAGAATACTTGTTCGTGTAGTTAGTAATGGCAACACGAGCTACTGAGGACGACTTGTTAGTATGGAGGGCAAGGGAGCGAATTGTGAGTCTTTCACTTGCTGGGTGAACGCGATGCTTGACTTTGTGCCTGTTTTCTTTCATTCTAAGAATGCCTCCCTCCTAGGGTCGAGAAAACTAAATGAGTTGATGTTTACAAAGCACTTAGAGCAGAGCCTAGTGCACACTAAGCACTAGGTAAGTGTTCAGTAATAAAAGGATGTTAGCTGTTATAGATATTACCGTTTACTGAGTTCTAAGTGCTGGGCGTTGTGGTATGTATTTTATATGGGAAATCCCACATAGTTTTCCCAAGAAGCTAGTAAGGTAAGAAATGTTGTCATCCTCATTTACAGCTGGGGACAGGGAGAGGAAACTGAGTCTTTGGCACTAGTTCTCAAGGATGAAACCCAAGGCCTAACAGGGCCCCAGAAGGAGGAGTATGGAGCTGCTGAGCCTCTTGCACAGTTTATTCTAGCCCTCGTTCTCCCTCTGAGATGAACTTTTAGGAAAGGGGAAAACAGGGGTTCCAGCCATTACCCAGTGGTCATCAAACTTGCCGGTGACAACAGCTGGAGCTAGTGAGCGGGCAGGATTCATGGAGCAGCCAGTGTAGTAGATCTGTGATAGGAAGTTGGGGTCAAAGAGAAAAAGAAGGTGAGGACAGGGCTGGGAGTCCTTGTACTCCCTCTCCAACGCTTGACCTTAACCTAAATGAAATCCGTTGGACGGGCAATTGACATCATGATTTAATTACCAGGCTCTGTATACCTTTGGGGCTGGAGAGGTATCTGTCTGTCCCTCTGGGATATCTGGGAGTCAGCACTCTGGGTTGTGTGTCCTTCCTGGGTGTTCTGTATATCTGTCTCTCTGAGGGTCTTTAAGCCTATCACTTTTAGGAGTTCCTTGTGTACGTCTCTAGAGTGGTCCGTGTTTCGGTTTCTTTGATGAAGATCTCTGTGTCTCTGTGTTCCCTCAAGGGAAGCTGAAACCCAAGTCCATGACCTACCCCAAGAAGATGCCCCAGGGTCACGGAGAAACCGATGGAGAGGGCAGGGCTGCCCAGATTGTCCCCACGGCGTTCGTCGGTGGAGGCAAAGATGCAGAGCACCAGCTGCAGGGTCAGGAAGAGCTCCACAGTCACCGCCTGGCCAGCTGTTGTGTTGTGGTTGAGCTGGGGACAGAGAAGGGATAAATGGGAGGGACACTGATCATGCTGTTGGCTCCATTCTCCTGCCCACCTGCATCAGCTCCAGGGAAGCCCCTGAGCTAGAGCCACAACACCTTGCCAGACACCTTGTCTGGCACTCCTGCCAACTTCTTTCTGATGGAGCCCAGGACGGCCCAGGGCCTCCAGTCAGAGATAGGAAAACTGGCTCCTTAGCCATTCAATCTGGGGGCTGAGGTTGTGTGCCTACAGTATGAGAAGAAAAAGATGCTCCTATCCCGAATTTCAGTTCTGAAGAGGTTTCAGCTCCATGAGGAAGATAATAGGGAGAGCTTCCTTTCTCTAGGCCACAAGCCATGGACGTGAGCGTCCAGGGGTCTTTCTTCTTGTGGTCAAATGGTTCCCAGGGCCAAGTTCTAGGGACTTGGGTGGGAGGGATGGCCTGGAGTGATCCCAGCTCCACGAGTACAGCAGACAACGCTTCCCCTCACACTTGCTGCTCCCCACTGCATTCCAGGCCTCCCCTAGTTTTGCCCTGTGGTTTGCTCACTGCACATCCTGTAGAGGTGGGGGTGGGGGTGGGGAAGGCCGGCCTGTGCCGCCTCCAGCCCATGCAGGGTGCCTTGGTCCCAGCACACCCTGCCCTGGGCAAGGAGAGAATTCAGGGCTTCCCAAAGAGGCAGTTTCATAACTGGGCGATACCTAGCACTGGATGTCTCTCTGGGTTTTGTCATCTTGTACCCGACGCCCTACCCTCTGGGGCAGGTTGGAGCTGAGACACTTCAACTCCTATGCTCCTTCTCCAGGCCCTGACCCCTACCTGGACATCAGGCTGGCACCCTTAGTTCTTTCCAGGGTTGGACCTCCATCCCTCCTCTTGCCGTCCAGGTCAGAGCCTCTAAGGGTCAGTGAAGGGAGCTTTGGGGGCAGATGCTTTGAAGGTATCTGATTTGCTGTGGACCCTGCTTGCTTTCGACTCAGGTTCTCCCTCTGTAAAATGGGGCTAACAAAACAGATTCTGGAGGGGTGTGTGAGGACTGAAAATGACAAGGGCTGTCCCAGCCCCCTTCCTGTTGGCAAATGACTGCTCAGAGGGAACAGTATGTACATGCCTATCGCCTCTGTCATTTGGATCTATTGAATGCTGAGCCTCAACTTACCGCTCAGGATGGGAAAACAACAGAATTTACCTCATAGGTTTGTACCAAGGGGGAGATAGTGTCTGGCCTGGCACAGGGAAGATGTACATCAATGGCAACTTTCTGGTGGCCAGACTGGCTCTCAGCATCTCTAGAGGACACCTGGGACTGCCTTGGGGGGGAGGGGTCATCTGGCTTTCCTTAGCCTCAGGGGAAGTCGGTCCCACTGCTGCCCCATTCTAGCCAGGCAGGGTTCTCTCCAGTTCTTCAGGATGATAAATGCTCAGGACCACCTTGGAGGAGGCTTCCCAGAGCCTGCCCTTTCTAGGGCCCTGGTCCACTGAAAAGTGATGGAAGAGCAGAACTGAGTATTCTCCAGGGCTCCTTTGTGCTCCAAGTACCCTAATACTAGAAAAGGAATTCCTTGGCCATGTGCTCCAGAAGTTCCTCTTTTCTAGCTGGGCCTCTCCCCGCTGCAAAATGAACTCATTTTGTTCTCAATGGAAATGGGCACAGTCCTCCACCACCTTGCCCATGGTAACCTTTTTTTTGCTCCTGTGCTCTTAGCCTCATCATATCTTCCATATTTTGAAGAAGGAAGAAGTTCCCAACAGGGAAACTCTGCCTCTTGCACAAGGAAGGCCACTTGTACCGAGGAGAGGACGACCAGAGAGACGATGGAGGACTCTTCAGCGACATCGGGGCCCAGGCACGGAGCAGGCCAGGCCATTCGGGAGATGGAACTGTGGAGGAGGCACTTGCTGGCAGGGCTGCAGTGTGGGAACGTGACAAGAGGACCATGTCCCCGGCCCTCAGATTTCCGGCACCGACCCAGGACAGGGGTCACGGCATCACCTTCAGCTCCTAACGTGCCTGAGGTGCCCCACTAGCCACAGTATCCTATAATCAGCAGCCAACCTAAGGCTCCCGAGCCCTTCTCCAGGGTCTGAGAGGACCCTGCTCCTGCACCCATCCTCTAGCTTCTGGTGTTTTCTCTCATATTGACAAACCTCAAAGCTTTGGGGCTATCGCTTTTCATCCCAGAGCCTGTTTTGTGCTTGCAAACAAGTCTGAGATGATGATGGCTCAGGAGGAAGAAGCACAGGTTTTGTAGGTCGAGCCTGGGTCTGAGGCCTGGTGTTGGGGTCCACTGGTGGTGGGGCCTCAGTTCTCACCTGCCTAGCTCTACCTCTCAGGGCTGTTACAAGGCATCAAGCTTCTGAAGAGTGACGGCCCCCTGGCCCCCATACAGGAGAAGCGGAAGAAATGTTCAGTTCCTCTTCTCTGTACAAGACCCTTGCAGCTGCACTCTGAGGTCCCCTGGCTCAGAAGGCCTGTTTGCTCTGGGACGTTGTCCCCTGCTGAGGTCTGGCCCAGTCCTCACTGTAGTGCAGGCAGCGAGTCCAACAGAAACCTTGCTGCACTCTTCCTCCTTGAGGTCTGGTGACAAGTCCTGGTTCCCCTGCTCTTATCCCGACTCTGCTCCATGGCCCCACCGACCCTGATTCTCCTAGGGCTGCTGTGTCTGTCTCGGCCTCGACATCCAGACCCCCACCCACAGTCAGTCCCTCCTAACTCATCCTTCACAAGTGGCTCCCCAGGACCAGCCCCTCGCAGAAGGGACCAAGTCCTGGCTACTCACAGCATTGATAGCCAGGTCCCCGCGGATTTCTGCTGGTGTGATCTCATGGAGCAGAGCAGCCCCTGCTACTGCTCCCAGAAGCTGGGCAGCCACGTAGAAGATGGCTCGGAGGAAAGAGACGTGGCAGCCCACCAGGCAGGCCACAGTCACGGCTGGGTTGATATGGGCCCCACTGATGTGGCCTAGAGCCTGCACCAGGGTGCCAATACTAAGGCCAAAGGCCATGGCAATCTGCAGCACAGAGGGCAGGGCCTGTGGCCAGTTGAGGGCTGAGCCAAGGCCAAAGAAGACAAAGAGGAGCGTGGCCAGGAATTCTGCCAACACAGCTCTGGAGAAGGCTATGGACCGGAGCTCCCACATGCTGCAGGCCTTCTGTGGGCTGGCCCAGCGGGCTGGGGCCCGGAGGATTTGTGGTGCACGCTCTCTTTCTCTCTTTCTCTGGGCCTCTGGGAGGCTGGGCCAAGGGCACTTATAGGGTCCTTCCGTCCTGCAGTCGGGCACGTGGGGTGGAGGTGGCCAGTACCTCTTCTCCGCCATGTCTCCCTCTGTCCCTGCCCCTCACCCCTGCCCACCTACATGCCTATCACCCCATCTGAGCCTTCACAGCTGACTAATGTTCCTCATTAATGAGCTTCAGATAAGGACTGACGTCCCCTATTTTCCGTGTTTATTCCCTTGGTTGCCCCAGAGCTGCTGCCCAGGGCCTCCCCCACCCCCATCTGCAAACACAAATCCTCTGGAGGGACGCTCACTTGGTACCCCCGTCTCTGACCCGAACTGTTGATCAAGACTGGGGTGACACCTCTCTCGTCACCAACCATCAGAGCCAATGTCACCGTACCCTTCTAATGATTGGAAAGTTCTTCCCACTGTCTGACCTCCAATTAATTCCTTCTTGAAGGGGATGGAAAACAACTGGTTGACTTGTAACATATTTCTAAGGCATAAAGCTTTCTTGTTTCATGCTTACTTTCTCGCAGTTAAACACTCATAAGTCATTAAGCTTCCCTTCCCCCTAGATCCCAGCTGGCAGCAGCTCCCACAGCCTTGGGGCAGGGAGCCACCTTCAGTGGCACTGGGACCCTGGCCCTGACTTTCCTTCCTTTGCTCCAACTCTGAGACTTTATCTTTCCTGCCTCTCTCTGTAGAATGCGGATCATAAAACCTAGCTCACAGGATCATGTGATCATGGATGCAAAGCCCTCAGAGCAGCATCTGGCCAACAGTGCAGCCCTGTCAGGTGTCACTCACAGAATTATCTGTGCTCAGTGTACGACAGGACCCCAAACTCGGTGTTCTAGAAGCCATGACATGGCATGACCATCTAGGCATGACCAGGAGCCTCTCCAGCCACAGGGTCATTTCTGTGAGGCAGTGAGCAGTGCAGGCCCAGGGAGGCCGTGATGCCTGATAAGAGACTCTCTGGCCTTGGTGCCCACTCACCCCAGACATTGTCCAGGCAAAGCCACCCCTTGTGTGGCCACTCTTCCCTGTGCCCTTCAGTACTGCTCCTGTTTTGGGGGGATCCAGTGGGCCCAGAGGGTACAGGTTCTTGACCTGGCCAGTAGGTCTCGGGGAAATTCACAGTAACAAGAATGAAAATCTGGGATGGATTGGAAACTGTGGAATGGAGCCCCTTGTGTTGAGCTAAAGGGGAGAAACTGAGACCTGGGGAAGGGAGGCGACTTATTCAAGGGGTCCAGCAAGCTGGGGGCTGAGCTGAGACCGGAACCTGGTTTGGAGAGCTTCTAGCACCCTCCACCGCCAAGTCACACTTCAAGCCTGTTTCCTCATCTGATTGATGGGAGCAATGATACCCTCCCTGCCCAATTGTCTCGAGAACACAGTAAGATCACAAATGGGAAAGTGTTTTGCAGCTGAAAATGTATGCCACGCACCTGTGTATACAGGGTACCGCTATTAAGGAAGAGAAAAAGGAGTAGGAGGGGAGGAAGAAACAACAACATATGACCCCAGCAGAAGGGGACTCCAAAGGACAAGGACTCTTGTGGGTTTGTGCCTAGGACAGGGCCTGACCTACAGGGATCTGGTACTCTGGTCCTCACACTGAGCCACCCTTCCCCAACCTAAGGCACCCCAAATACTCCAGGGAAAGACGCAGGGGAGAAGATGGCCAAATCTTGCACGGGGCATCTGGGACCCACCTCTAGACTCTGCACAAAGAAAGGGACAAGGATCCAGGTGGTCAGGCTTGGCTGTGCCTCTTTCCTCACCCAGGGAATTTGCTTCCCCACTGTCTCCATTCATGGCTTCAGGTATCACTTTTCCTGCCTCTTGCTAAGTTGTAGCCTGGGCCTCAGGACTCTCTGAAAAACCCTTCCCACACCCCTAACATGAGCTGAAGTTGTGACACTCATTTTTAAATCCACTCTTACCCTCTGAGCGGCTGTGTGCCCTTGGATGAGCCACACACCCTTTCTGGCCAAGGTGTTCATGATCTTGAGGAGTGGCTCATTGACCCTTCACTCTGAGCAGATTGCCTCTAGCCCACTCCGCTCTTATTATAAACCCAGAATAGATGTCACGGCTTCTCTTTGTAGCCCATGAACCCCAACCCAAGTCTGTGTGTGTTTATGGTACGTGTGTGTATTTGGTCATTCAGTTACACAATCATATATTTGGAAGCATGGGGTTAGTGTGAGGCTCCATGGTAGAACACGTCATGCTTGAGTCCCTGGGTTCAATCTCCAGCACTGCAATGAACAAAAACCTTACAGGGGCTCACTTTACAAATGAGAACATGAAGTCTGGAGAGAGGTGATTTCCACAGAGCCACAGTATGTTCAGGCCGTTCTGGTCTGGCTTCAAGCCAGAGTAGGCTTGGAGTAGGGGCCAGCCATGACTACGTCCCCCTGTGCTTTGCACTCTGCGCTCTGTCGGTGCCAGGGAAGAAGAAAGTGCTCCTGTCACAGCCAGGGGCCTCTTGCTGTGGCTCTAGGTGGGCAGCAGGGCTCCCCCAAGGGGGCAGCTACATTTTGTCTACAGTGACCAGAAAGAAACAACTATACATCTATCATGCTCTACTAATTAGAATATGACAAAAATGCCTTCCTGGAAGGGGATGCACACCAATGTGAATTACCTAATACCAATGAATTGTGCATTTAAAAATAGTTAAGAGGGCTAGGCATGGTGACAATACAGGAGTCTTTCCTGTTTTGTCATACAAACAGAAAAACTATTCAATTTATTTATGATAAAATAGGAGTGGAATAGGAATTTCCTTGGAAATTGTGAGAAGTTTACATCAAGTTAGAGGGACCCTAGAAATAGTGATAAGGATGCAAATCAAATCTTGGCTTCTTATTTCTTTTCCTCTGTTGAGCTATACTATTTCAATTATATTCATTGCATACCTGAAAAAAAAACACTGGAGCCTGAGACAGGAGGATCATGAATTCGAAGCCAGCCTGGGTAACTTAGTGGGACTCTATCTCAAAATAAAAAGGGCTGCAGGTATAACTCAGTGGGTGAACTCTTGCCTAGCATGTTTGAGGCCCTGGCTTCAATCTTCAGTAACTCACACACACACAAATAAATAAATTAAATAAGTACATTAAGTAAATAAAAAATTATTAAGATGGCACATTTTATGTTATGTGCATTTGACCACAATTAAAAATAACATTTTTTAAAAGTCAGACAAGGAAGATGACCAAACCGGGGGTAGGCTTTCTTTCTCTCTCTCTCTCTCTTTTTTGTTTTTTTTTTTTGGTACCGGGGATCAAACTTGGGCCCTTGCGCTTGCGCAGCAGGCGGCGAAACCACTGAGCTAAATCCCCGGCCCTCTCTCTTTTTTTTTTTTGAGACAGGGTCTCGCTATGTAGGTCGAGCTGGCCTTGAACTCACAGTGCAGCCCAGGCTGGCCTCAAACTCATGGCGATCCTCCTGCCTTAGCCTCCCAAGTGCTGGGATTACACGCGTGCGCCACCACTCCTGGCTATGCCACCATGCCCAGTGGGCTTTCTTACCAGTCAGCATTTTAAAAGATTTATTGATTTACTTAGATATCAGTTTTTCAAGTCAAAACTACTCATATGCATAAAAATGAAGTCATAGGCCAAAGAAATTGACCAAAATAGTCCCAAAGTTTCATCACATTCAGAATCCCACTCTCCTGAACCCCTTTTTGACTCAGATGTTTAACTACACAGACTTCTGTGCTATCTGGAGCGTTGGTGATTCACCATTTCTTAAAATAATGCTGTTCTTTCTAGAATTCCTTTCCAAGCTCCAGATACTCATTCTGTAAGTGTTTCTGCAGGGGTTTTCTTTCTTTGTGTGTGACCAGTGATCATTTTGCTCTTTTCTCAGTAATGAAACAGCACCACACAATTTTATCTCTTTGAGTCTTCCTTTCTTAGGTCCCATAAACACTTGGCTGTTGTTTTGCAAGAAAATAAAGAATTGTTGTCATTCTTTAATGTCAACTATTTCCTTCACTAATATCAAATTCTTGCGGGGCTCCTCTGTTTACGAACCTTTCTGGGTACACAATAGCTTTGAGTAAATGCTAAACCACAGTGTAACCTTTCTGAAGACATTTCCAATGGCAATTAAACTGAACCTATATAGGAAAGAGAAGGCGCTTGGCACTAAGCTGAGGCTTGTACAGGAAATGACAACCATTCCCAGCTGTGGGTGCCACAACAGCAAGAGAAGTTACAATGAGAGAAAACGTTGGGCAGCTCAGGACTTACACAACGTGACAGCTATCATACTAAACATGTGCTTAGGGCCACTGTGTGCACTGTTCTAGGCGTTTTGTTGTTGTTTTTTTTAGTGCTGGGGATTGATCCTTGGGTCTTCCCATTGAGCTACTTCCTCAGACGTTTTTAATATTTTAAATTTTGAGACAAGGTCTCCCTAAGTTGCTGTATTGCCCATGCTGGGCTCAAACTTCCGATCTTCCTGCCTCATTCTTGCACATATTAGGGCTTTCAGATCCTCGGAGTCAGCTGGATGTGGAGGCCTGTGCCTGCAGCCCTAGCACTTTGAGAGGCTAAGGCAGAAGGGTTGCAAGTTTCAGCCTGCCTTGGGTGACTTAGGGAGATCTTATCTCAAAATAAAAAAATAATGTTAAAAATAAAAGCTGGGAATCTAGCTCAATGTGAAGGCCCTGGGTTCAATCCCCAGTACCACCACCAAAAAAAAAAATCCTCATAGTCACCCTGTACACCTAAAAGTTATCATCCCAGTTTTTAAAGATGAAGAAAATGAGACAGAAAAAAGTTAGGTAATTTTCCTGAGGTCACACAGTAAATGAGAATTGGAATCCCAGTCGTTTGGCGTCAAGGGGACATTTTTGATTGTGAAAGTGAGTTCCAGCCTCACTTCTCAAAATAACTGAGATAGAAAATGAGTGAGAAAGAGAACCAAGTGTCCCTGAATAAAAAATACATGAATTAAGGTGTTCTTTGCTGGTACCCTGGAAAAGGGGGGTTGGGAGGATGCCTCTGGGGCGCTGGTTCTCTCTGACAGCTGACATGATCTCTGATCATGAGATGCACATGTCCTCCATTCTCCCCGCAAGGTTGGTCATAAACCACAGCTTACGAGGCCGGCATTTTGGGGACTGAGGGAGAAAGGCAGGGCAGAGCCACAGTAGGGACAGAGTGAACAGAGTGAGGACACAGCTGCAGGCAGCAAGCTGGCAGGAGAGGTGGGAGCTGGGTGCCCGGGCCCCTCGGGAGCATGGGCAATGTGATTTCTATGTAGAGTTTCCAGATAAAATACAGGATGTCTAGGTCCATCTGAACTTCAGATGAACAATGAATGATTTTTAAAGTACATTCTAAGCAATATTTAGGATATACTTGTCTCTACTCTTTAAAGGTATGTGATTTTGTATGGGTCCTATTAGGGCCATCATTGCCAAGTCATGGAGGCTCTTGAGGGTCTTAGGGGAG